TCTACGCTCTTCTTTCTCAAGGACATTTCTGTGACCGAGAACATAGGCTCCTGTTCTCCCCCACAACGCTTTTGTTTTTTTGAGACGGGGGTCTCTGTTGCCTGTGCTGGAGTGCAGTGGTGGGATCACAGCTCACGGCAGCACGCTCCCCCGCCAGGCTCAGGTGATCCTCCCACCCCAGCCTCCCGAGTAGCTGGGACGACAGGCATGTGTCACCACACCGGGCTAACTTTTGTAAAACAGGGTTTTGCCATGTTGCCAAGGCTGGTCTCAAACTCCTGAGCCCGCCCCGGCCTCCCAAAGTGCTGGGATTATAGGCGAGAGCCACCGCACCTGGCCAGGCTCCCATTGTAATAAGGGCCAGACTTAGCTAAAGGTTGAAGCTCCACGGGGGAGTCTGGGCAGCAGTCATGGGGATGGAAGGCAGCTCTGAGGTGGCACTGTGGCCCTCTCTGGACTCTATCCCATGTGGAGGCAGCTCTCCAGCTCCTTCTGAACCACCTGTGTGATGGGGGTCCAGGGACTGCCAGCCTGCAGGCCCAGCATCACCCCAAGGCTTCACCCGGAGGTTCCACGCTGGCCTGACACCTGGAAGCATATGCCCCCCCAGAGATGCAGGTCTGCTCAGGCAGGCACCCGCAGCTTCCCTCAGTGAGGCTGTACCATCCAGCCCAGCATGCACTGGCCTGACCACCCCCCCAGCTGGGCTGGGCCTTGGGTAAGGGCTCTGGGTCACACTGCTTTGCACCACAGGGCCCCCACCACACCTGGAGAAGAGGGTTCCCGCTGTCCTCCCTCTGCCCCCACAGACTTCCTGGAGCATCTCTGAAGGCCTGGGATTCTGTATCCTGCATTTCCCGCGTGGGAAAACCACACAGAAGCAGGGACCATGGGCTGAGTGTGAGGGGCCTCCTGTCCTCCAAGCCAGGGCCCTAGAAGCAGAGGAGGCACCTGTCTCTCCTTGTGACCTTGGAGTCCCGTGAGGACTTGAGGATTTGGCCTGCGAGTGTCCCAGAAACACTCTCTTCTAGGCTCCCCCGAAGGTCTGAGAGGCCTGAGGCTGCCTCCAGTGAGGGTCTGGCTTCTCAAAGGCTGTGGTTAGAAAGCGAATGAGTGATACTGAGGGTTGGAGCAAGAGATCCAAGCAGGACAGTGACAGTCCCCAAGGGCGTCAGGTCCGAGGGCCCCATCGCTGCACCCCACCTTCCCTCCTCCTGCCCTCCCACACCGCAGGCACCCTCCCCATGCAGGTCCCAGGCCAGGTCCTGGGATAGAGGCGAGTCAGCCTCACCCTGCCCTCGAGGGGCTCAGGGTATATCCAGAGAAGCAAATAAAGAAGCTGCCAAGAGGAGGTGCCGTTTGAGAGGGGCCTGAAAGGAAGAAAAGGAATTAGTCACGTGGATGGGGTGAGGGTGGGTGGGGGTGGCTTTCCAGCAGGGGACGAGCTCGTGCTGGCCAGGCCAGTCTCTGGCACCGCGGTGTTCTAGGTCTCAGCCCTCCCGTGACCTCTGAGGGCAGGTGCAGCTTGGCCTCTGTCCCCCAAGGGTGACTGGAGGAACCACTTCAGCAGGCCAAAGAAGAACCTGCCTCCGGCCAGAGGGGTCGTAGCACAAGGACCCCTCAGAAGGCACTTGGCTCCCCATCTTCCTAACTTCAAGCCAGAGGGGAATTTATAGTTAGGGGCCACCCCTAAGCAGGGGCCCTTGACTAGAGGTCATAAGTGAGTGGGCTCCAGGGTCTCCACGAACCCTAAAGTTGTGAACAAAATTTTGTGCGTGCATGCATGTGGGTGATGTAATTCGGGAGCAAGATGCTCACGGGATGAGCCCAAATGGTGAGAACTCTGCTCTGGGGTGTCAGGGCTGGGAGGTGCTCCAGGGACACTGTGAGATCAACCCCTGCATGGAGAGATGAGGAAACAGACTCAGACAGGAGACGTCCTTTGTTCAAGATCACCCTGAAAGCTGGTCTCTGGGCCAAAGCATGCATCTGGAGCAGAGTCTCTCAGTGCTATGGGGGGCGCTCTGCACCCATATCCCTGGGGAGTGCTGTGGGGGGTGCTCTGCACCCATATCCCTGGGGAGTGCTGTGGTGGGCGCTCTGAACCCATATCCCTGGGGAGAGCTGTGGGGGGCGCTCTGCACCCATATCCCTGGGGAGTGCTGTGGGGGGGCGCTCTGCACCCATATCCCTGGGGAGTGCTGTGGGGGGG